AGAAACTAAAGCCAAAACCTTAGTAGACTAGTGAGCTAGATAACCTAAAGTTAGTTCAAAACAGAGCTTTTTAAGTCCTAAAAAGAGAAGCTAGTAGAGAGGACAACAGCCAAATTAACTAGTAGAAGAAAGAATATCTTATTGCAAAATATAGATATCTAAAAGCTATTAAAAAAGCTAAGCTTAACTACTAAGAAACCTTCCTACAAAAGGAGACGCCAAAAGAGATATTTAAAGCTATAGCCTACACAAAAGACAACCTATCTATAAGGATACCTGCTATTAAAGGCAAGGAGACCTTTAGAGAAAAATGCCAAGCCTTTAGAGAAGATCTCTTCCCTCCACTACTATCTACTCTAGCCCCACTACTAAATACCTACAAAGGAGATAGTAGATAGGAGTAGCTAGCTTTAATAAAAGAAGAGCTTGAATTCGCCTGCGTAAGCGTAAAAGCTACCTCGCCAGGACTAGATTCAATTAGCCAGGATATAGTCCAAAAAGTCTATCAGGCACAGCCAGAATTACTCTTTAAGATATATTCAGCTCTATTTAATTTTGGCTACTAACTAAAGTGCTAGAGAAAAGCTAAAGGAGTTATTCTAAAGAAACCTAGAAAGCTAGACTACTTTATCCCAAAGGCATATAGAGTTATCTCACTCTTAAGCTGCCTAGGGAAAGTACTAGAAAGACTATTTGCAAGACGATTAGGAGCAGTAGCAGAAACAACAGACTTACTCCACCCTACCCAGTTAGGCGGGAGATTAAAGAAATTAGCAATTAACGCCGCTCTCCTATTCTATAATAATATACAGCAGTAGAAAAAGAAGTATAGGACTACTACAACTATATTTCTAGACATAAAAGGAGCCTTTGATCACGTGGCTAAAAATAAGCTACTAGAAAATATGAAGGATCAAGGACTTCCTTGCTGCCTACTATCCTAGACTAAATCCTTCCTAGAAAACAGACTACTAGAGCTATCCTTTAATAGCTAAGTAGAAGATCTACAGGAGGTAAACACTAGTACGCCCTAAGGCAGCCCCACTTTCCTAATCCTATTCTCAATCTACACAAAACTACTATTTTAGTTAATTATAATAAATAGAAATATCTACTCCTCTTCTTATATAGACAACCTATAGATATTAGTATCTACAACATCTATTAAGAAAAACGTTAAATTACTAGAAAAAGAGACCTAAAAACTCTTTAACCTAGCAGAGGAGCTAGCAATTAAATTTAACAGCTTAAAGACTGAACTAGTAAATTAGACTAGATGAAAAAAGGATCAAGATTCTCTCACACTACCCACCTAGGAGACCTTTCAACCAAAACAGCAAATTAGATAGCTAGGCATCTACTTTGACAAAGCCCTTAAGTTCAAGGATCACTGCTTTATTAGAAATTAATAGGCAAACTAAGCCTTTACTTGGCTAAGCAGACTAGCAAATAGCAATAAAGGCCTATCACCTAGAGCCTTTAGACAATTATACCTTGCCTGCATCACTAGCGTAGCAGACTATGGTTGTCAGATCTTCTGGAAACAACAATAACTAGCTCTTAAACAAAGGCAATTACTACAAAATAGAGCGTGTAGGAAGATTCTAGGTACATTTAAGACCTCCCCAACTATACCTAGTGAGGTAGAGGCCTGCCTCTACCCACCTAGAGTAAGGTTAAACAACGCTCTTCGACAATACGCCTTTAGAGCTCAAAAACTAGCCCTAAATCACCCAATTAATATTGCTATAACTAGCAATAAAGGGGAACAACTAGATCAGATCACTAGATCTATCTCCACAGTCCTTGCTAGAAACACTAAGGAGATACAACATTACGCCTTTACACCTTAGAACTCAAATATCCTATACAAGGTCTATATAACTATCTAAAGAGCCTAAAGACATAGAAGCAAAGAACCACAAGGAACAACTAGTAGATAACAGCCTCTTATCTATCTATTCTAATGCCTTAGCTACAAAGCAAAGCAAAGGTGTAGGAGTAGAGGTTGCATTCTATCTAGGAACAACACAAATAGCCTAAGAACAATATACTATAGGAAATAACTAACTAGTTTACAACAGTAAACTAGAAGGTATTACTCTAGGGCTAGAAAAAGCAATAGAGCTAGTAGAGAACTGTTTAGATATAAAAGTCTATGCAGATAATCAAGCTGCTCTACTTAGGTTAAAGACTGCTTCTAATAATCCAGGCCAAGAATGGCAAATTAGATGTATAAAGGCAACAAAGAAACTAGAGGAGATAGGTATACGCCCTAGCCTTTACTGGGTACTAGGCCACCAAGATATCCCTAGGAACGAAAAAGCAGACGCCCTAGCTAAAGAAGCTACTAAGCTAGACCCTCCTTCTACTAGCAAAACTAGCCTAGCTATTACTAGCTCGCGAATTAAGCAGCTAGGAGAGAGAGAATGGCTAAGCTAACTTGAATAGTACAGGAAAAAAGCCACTAGCAAGAATCCACATACGTACGCAGCAAAATACAAGTAGAAGATAAGAAAGTAAATCGCTATTCCTAGCAATACGAGAAGAGAGATTTCTAGCGCTTTCTACTAACTTAAACTAGGGCACTGTTACCTAAGGGACTACCTATATAAGAGAGGGAAAGTGGATTCTAATA